CTGCTAACAGAGGCAACAACCTGGCCATGCAATGGAACGGGTTCCGTGATGTTCACTGGGAGGGCTGGGAGATCCCAGATGAGAAGTGACCATCCCGTGGTTGATGTTATCCCAAAGCGCCTGTTCCTCATTTGGGGCACTCTGGCCGCAACAGCAGTAGTAATACTTCAACAACAGTGGTGATTAGTTACAGAAGGAGCCTACTGACAGCTCATCTCCATGTGAAAAGCACTCGGGCCCTTGGGCCACCCTGGCTGAGCTGTCCCCTGTCAACAGGGTGCATATTCCCTGCTTGGTGCCCAGCTGGCAGCGGCAGAGCTGTTGTGACCCAATCCCCTTCAAACTCGAAGAGCTTTTAATGAGCCTACATGAGAGAAGAAAGTGGGCGAGAAGCAACAGCAAGAGAGCAGTGAGTGAGCAGTGGGGGTGGAGGAATCTCCCCCAGAGGGCTTGACCCTTTGTGCGCTCAGCGGCCTGCTCCATCCCACTACCTTCCCTGCTGAGAAGGTACCAGGAGGGAGGGAGGGTGGAGATGGAGCCGGAAGCAGACAAACAAGCATCTGGAAGTCCAAACACCTATTTTTAAATTCTGGGGTCTCAGCGCAGCCTTGATTTAATGTCACTTGCTTGTTAACTCTCAGCTGCTGGCCTGGGCACGTGTGACTTGGGAAGGGGAATGAGAGCGAGATTCGTTTCAATCACATAGCCCTTCATCCACAGGAAGTGGGGGGCCTGGTGGCTTCCTGTTGAGGCCTCCAAAGCAGGAGGCCAACTTTGTAGGTGCGCAGTTTCACACCCTGGCTTCTACCGTCAGGGGACCAAAGGGGCAGACGGGAAGGAAAACATCCTGCCATCCGGCTAGGGTCCTTCCTGGCCCGTGGGAGGGCTGGGGATCAGCCAGGGCGGAGGCCTGGACCAGGAGAGGGAGGGGTGTTACCGTGTGACAGGAGCCAAGAACAAATGTGGGTGAAGTGGATGAGGTTTAATTTAGCAAGGGCAGTGTTATAACTGTCTCTTCAGTAACCACAAGGTACAGACTCTGGGAAAGATGACTGTCTGCACGCCCTTATTTAAATATCCGTGTATACCCATGAGTGTTAATAATGCAAACAGGACTCTTTTTTTTTGCTTTGGTGCCAAGATTTTTGGCCTGCAAATCACTGCTCACAATAAAGATTTTTCTGAAGCTACCCAGTTACACTCAAGATTAAAAACAACCACAATATTCTGCCTTTGTTTTCCCAATCTCTAACCTCTCTTTCTCTTCTCCTAAACCCTGGGTCATGCCCATGCCTGGTTCTGATCATCTTCCCCAAGAAGAAAGATCTCAGTCACTCACAGGCTTGATTGATCTGATCGACACTCCCAGGACACTACAGTAGCTGTCCAAATAGAGGGCGCCTGCAGTAAAACGGGGCCATCTCTGTGCTCCAAGTGAAAGACAGCAACCGAGTCCAGGAGGGAGAGGCTGGGATGACCAGGAGTCTGGGAAGGTCTGAGCTTCCCGCTCTCAGCCCGGGATGCTTTCCTGGTGCCTGTCCTAGTGACTTCCCACACTTGACCTCATTTATGTTCTTCTGTCTTACATCACTGACGCTAACTGCTGACATTCTCGAGTGTTCACCACGCGCCAGGCCCTGCCCTGGGCCAGTCACTTGCATTTCCTCTTTGTGTCTTCACATGAGGCTGCTGTTTCTCCCCCATTTTTCAGATGAGGAGACAGGGGTTTGGGGCACCGACTGGCTCGAGGTCACATGGCTCGCAGAGGGTGAGGCCTGCGCTTGAGCCTACGTGGCACCTTGTCTCCAAATCCCGAGCCCTTTTTCCTGCACAAATGCCCCTCTACAGCAACCGGGAAGCAGGTCTTGCTCGTCCCGATAGCCAATAGGGACGCTGCGGCTGAGGGAGTGCGAGGGATTTGTTGCCCAAAGCTTTACCACTCAAGACTGGGAAAGCTACAACTGGGACTTGGGTGTTTTGACTCCAAATTCAATGCTCTTCCTCTGATCCCTGCAGCAGCCCTGGGTCACCGGCAGATTAAGAAAGGAGAGAAAGTTCATAGGCCCTCCAGGGCCCCTGGCGCTGGCCCGTCATTACCGAAGCCCTGAACTCGGGTGCTTGGGCCTTCTTAGCCCTTGGGCTGAGCCAGCGGAGTCACGTGACCCTCCAAGGGACCTGTCGTCAAAACCCACTTTCCAATGCAGTTTAACCACAAGCGTCCTCACCTTGGTTTGGCTACATTATTTATTTCTCAGGGTCTCTCTTGGGTCCTTTCCATTAAGATTCCCTCTCAAAGTCCTGCCTCTCCAGGAGGCCTCCTGTTCTTGGGCTCAGGTTACTCTACTTAAAACCTTCTTGCCAGTTGATTGTTTCCCCTTCACTTTTCTGCCCCGGGTGTTGCATGAGAGTTCTGCTACATCCCAGATGCGGCCTCCCTAGAATACGAAAACTCCCAGCGCCCTCTTGAAGGCCCCCCACATCTATGGTGAGGTAGATAACCCAATGGGCTCGTGCTCTCTCTCTCTCACATTCTCTAGGCCCATCCCCCACCCCTGTTGCTACCACCTTGGGTTCACCATCCTCTTGGAAAAGGTTTGAGGTGGCGATAGAGTTAATGCAATCTAATTCTTGCCTGTGAGGGAGAGCTTGGCACTAGTTACAAAGCTCCTCACTGCCAGGGCGGCCCTGTTCTCCATCATCCTCCACTCCTTCTCCCCAATAAAATGATCCGTTTAAACCAGATCTTTTTATTAACAAGCTTCCTACTAAATGGCCTCAGCTGTGCTTGTTGATTTACAGGGCTTACAAAGCACTGCTCGGCTGTGCCCTCCACATTGGTCCAAGGGCCTGGTGGCATTGTAGGAGGGCAGAAGCCACCTTCCAAATAGCAGGTCCAGAGGGGGCTTCTTTTTTTCTTCTTAAAACTTTAATTAAGGAAATGTTCAAACACACAAAATTAGAGAAATAATATAATGGAACTCCTTGACCCACCACCTTGCCAGTCTTGTTTCATCTGCTTCTCCCCGCTTCCCAAACTGCCTCTACTAGCTAGATTATTTTAAATTAAATCTAAAACATTTTATCATTTCACCCACTTCAGTATATTTTCTAAGAGATAAAGACTATCTGGTCTTTTAACATAACCACAGTAACATGGTCATGTCTAAAAATATTAACAATAATTTCTTAATATTATCAAATATCCACTCAGTGTTCAAATTTTCTTGATTGTCCCAGAATTATTTAATATTTGATTATATAAGTCAGGATTTAATCAGTATTCTCGGTTGCATTTGATTAATACGACTCTTGTGATTCTGTTTAACCTATAACAGTTCCTCTCCTCTTTTTTTTCGGGGGCATCTTGATGGAGACAGTGCCCAGAACACGTATGTTCCTATGGTGGCCCTGTGCCATCCCCAACCGGGAGATCCTGAAAGCCCCCTTATCAGCAGAGCCTTCCTTTACCAAGGGCTAAATTATTTATTCCCTTGGGTGTGGCCCTAACCCACAGGCCTCTGCCTACCATCCCTCAGAACATCTTAAGAAGCTTAAATCATCTTATCCTGGTACTGGGTGCAATAATCGAGCCAACAGCCCTGAGCAGTTACCGACCCACTCACCTCACTAATAGCTCATACTTATTAGCACACAGTGTTTACCACAGCCCACTAGGATTGGTCCTTTACTGCCCCTATTTTCCAGATGAGGAAATGGACGGATAGAAGAATCTGTTCTACTCTTTGTGATCAGTGGTTTTGGGCTTTGAAATCAGGTTGTCTGATGGACGCACCCACTGGCTTAACCGCCAAGAGACCCTGCCTCACAGTGCAAGGTCCCAGGCTCCTCTCAGGCGGGACCGGCAGGGAAGGAGGAGAAATCTTGATCAGGAGGAGGTGTTTGCAGTTTTGGAGAGAGGTCAGGGCAAGGAGACAGCCGAGAGGCAGAGCTGATGAGAGCTCCAGATCTTCTGTGGACTCCCTTTGTCTAGGCTGGGCTTGTGCCCATCCCCACGAATTTCCCCAGGGAGGCTGGGAACAGGCCTCCTCATCTCCTCTCTTTCACAAGTCCACACAAACCGTCATTACCACTCTCTCAAGCCCACACAAATACCACATCCACATGCCCTCAGACCCACACCACTCAGCTGGCAGGCCAGCCCCCACACGGCTCTTCCCTACAAGCACATGCTTGCCCACACACACCTCACCATGCTGAGCAAACAAGGAGCTGGAGGCCTTGAGGAGGGGAGGAGGGGTGGGGTTTTCCCCGTGTCAGTCAGAAGTAAAGGCTGCCTGACTTCAGATAGAAAGGTTGTCTGCCTATCTATCATCTACCTATCTATCTACCTGCCTATACATCTATTTATCATCTATCTATGTCTCTATCTATCTATCATCATCTTTAATAGGTCTTCTCTAGTTCTGGAAAAGGCAAAGTCTTTGGAACTCCTGGTCTCTGTAGGCCCAGGGAGTCTGGAAGGAACTGGAGGGTTAGTGAGTGAGGCCTGTGTGGGGAGGCCGGAGTAGGGTGAGGAGCTGGCTGGTTAAATAGGGTTAACTGAATTCCCTTCATCTGAGGGAGGGGAGCTCTCATCTGTGGTTCTAAGAAATAGAAAAACACCAACTGTGAGCAAGATAATCCAATTTCCTTTCTCCCTCGCTCTGAAGGGGACTGCCCTGGCCCTCCCGCTCCAACTTCACGCTGGGTCTCAGTCTGGCTAGAACTCTTTACCCCTCCAGCAGAATTCATATCAAAGCCTCAGCCCCCCGGGGTTCATTAGGAGGCATTTATTTTTGCATATTCTTGGAGAGCAGGAGGGAGGATAACTTGATTCGCAATGCAAATTGCTTGGCCCTAATTTCAACTCTCCCTCCCTTCTCACGGGGAGATTTTGCAGGTCATTAAAAATATATGATTGCCTCCAAAATAGCAGTGACAGCTGCTCTTCTGGGCAGGGCCAGGTGCTGGTGCTGGAGGGCCACCGAATGACGTGGGACGGATGCCCTGGCAAATGGAGGCAGGCCTTCGCTCCTGCTCCAGCCTCTAGGCTCCAGATCACAGCCATAGTGGCTGGTTCTGAGGCCAATATCGGGACGCAGACCTACTCTGTCTTCTCTCGCTGTGGGGCATCCAAGCTGTTGGTTTCCTCCTCTATAAAATTGGGGATAAATAAGGACCTGGACCCAGAGCACCACGCTCATAGTAGGTGAGCAATCAGCTCTGCAGGCCAGGCCGTTCCCCACCCCAATCGATGACACCCCTCCTCATCCCACGGCCTTCCCCAATTTGGGCTCCAGGGACCCAACTAGACAAGGAAGCATCACCCAGCTCTCCTGGTCATGACGAGGGTCTCTCTTGGTGTTTCCTTCCCTTTGTTGTCATGGGAATTCAGAAGACCCAGAACTATCTAGGCCTTTGCTTTCAATCTAATTGATCCCATAGACATTGGTCAATGAATAGGGGAGGGGAGGATCTATGGATGTGAGTGTTGATCAAAGCCAATGTCTCTACATAAAACCAAGAAAAGATTTTAGGCCAGGCAGGAAGGAAACTGTTCCTCCGGGAGTCCAAGGCACTGACCTGGGATCTCCCAAGAGGATGGAGATCCCTTCAGGCTTTGTCCACCTGAGTTCCAGGATACTCCAGCCATGAATCGCAAGGAGAAAGGATGTCTTTTTTATACAATAAACACATAACCCTGGAGGAGCATGGATTGTCTGTACGATTGTTAGAGGGAAGCCACATCTTTTGAAGGTTTAAAGTTGCCTTTTAACTCAGATTTTTTTTTTTTATAATTTTATTTATTTTTTCCCCCAAAGCCCCAGTAGATTGTTGTATGTCATAGCTGCACTTCCTCCTAGTTGCTGTATGTGGGACGCGGCCTCAGCATGGCCGGAGAAGCAGTGCGTCGGTGCACGCCTGGGATGCGAACCCGGGCCCCCAGCAGCAGAGTGCGTGCACTTAACCGCTAAGCCACAGGGCCGGCCCTTAACTCAGATTTTAAAAGGTGTATGGGAAAACATTTTGGCAGTTCCTCAAAATGTCAGACAGTTACTGTATGAGCCAGCAATTCCACTCCTGTGTCTATACCCTAAAGAAATGAAAACGTAGGGCCACACGAAAACTTGTCCATAAATGTTCATGGCAGTGCTGTTCATAAGAGCCAAAAAGTGAAAACAACCCAAATGTCCATCAAAGAATGAATGGATAATTAAAATGTGCACTCTCACACACACACACACACACACACGCACATCCCTGCCTGCGTTCCTGCTTGATTTTCTACAGTTTGATGGGAACACCAGGTGTCTCCTCCACAGAAGGGGTCTGGGGCCAGGCTCACCGCAGGAGCCTGGGAAGAGAGGCCCCTCCTCCAGCTTCACCTCCTGCGGCTTCTCTCACGTCCTCCACATCCACCTCACGCTTGGGTGCCTTCAGCTTTGTGCGGTTTGGGAAGCCCTCCCTGAGCTTGTGCTTTCTGACCAGGGAGTGCTTTTCTCTGCCCATTGACCACCTACTTGTCTTCCAGAGCCTTCTCTGACCTTCCCTTTCCGTGGAGGCAGGTGGTCTCTGCCTCCCCCCGGACTGTGGTCAGGTCAGCTCGTGGCTGTCCCTGGGGCGGGGTGGGGGGACAAGGACAGGCCCCCTGGTCTGAGCTTGTCAGGCGCACGGACCGCGGCTCCCTCGCCTGGACGGACCCTGGCACAACGCGGCACAGAGAGAAGGAGCTAAAGTGGTGATGGAGGGAAAAAGGAATGAGAAGGGAGAGGGACAGAGGGAAAGGGAAGTCGTTTTGGTATTGTTTCCATTTTTATATAATAACATTTAAAAAGAAAGAAAAGGAATTAGTTACACAAGGTCTCTGAGTTCTCTGTAGTTTTTTATTAGTGTGTACTTTAATTCATTAATAAAGTGGGAAAGGAGAAACTCAGGCATATTTTACATTCTAATGAAATTCAAATAGATTTGAGGATTTTAAGAATGGTTCTTTTATAGTCAATATTCATTTCTCCCCTGTAGAAAAATCATTTTTCTCCCCTAGAATGACCTTGGTCCTCACTCTTTCCGGGAAGATGGGGTTTGATTGATCTAGGGGCTGAACATGGGGCTTCTTTTCTCTTCGTTCAGGTGGAAACAGTCGCTCCCTTTCAAGTCAGAAGGGACTTAACTTCTTTTCTTTGGTCCAAACCCATCCCTCTCAACACCCACTGTGTACAAATGCACCAAGTTTGTGGACATCAAAGGGCGTTCCACTGGTGATATGGGGGTTCAGGAGGTGGGAATGGCCCCTCTTTACTAGTTAGCATTTACCAAGTCTGTATAATCATTAACTAGTTTCCCTGATGGAGTAATTCCCACAGGCGTTGATGAGAATTGTCTGAACACAGTAAGATAGACTTGGTAACCCTAGTCTTGTTCCTAAACAGGGGCCTTTATGATGTGCTTTTCAGAACTGGGAGCAGTATGGTGCAGAGGGAAAAACATTGAACTGATTCTTGTTCCAACTCTGTCATTAACCAGCTGTGTGACCTCGGCTGCAGCCTCAGCTGTACTATGGCTGGCTTCAATTAGGGAAAGCAAATTGGTAGCACATGTGCCACCACGATGCCCTCTGTCACCAGGGCAGACATTGCTAATCAATCCCAGCCCTTTTCCTGGGCCTGGAGGGAGCTCCATAATCCCACACGCCTACAGTTGGTCAGACAGCATTCTGAGCTGCAGCTTGTTTACCGTGCCTGGACTAGATGGTCTCTTGACTGTCCCTTCCAAGGCTAACGTTCAATCATTTTAAGTATTACGGCTATTTGTTCTGTTGTGGCAACCACCACCAACAGACTCCATAAAATTGTGCTATTCCATTCCAAGGATCACAAAGAATTTCCCTCCTCAAAACACTTCTATGAAACAGGAAAATAAGCATTCCATTCCAACCATCCCAGAGGTTGAGGCTGCCTGAAAGAAAGGGGGTGGCCTAGTTACTCTAAAACAAGTTCCAAGCAGGGCTGAAAACAAAGCCAGCATGGCAAACACTTCCTACCTCTTCCCTCAGGATTTGGGGCGGGGAGCCAGTCCTTCTGTCCGAAGGGGAATTCCTATAGGAGTTAATGAGAACTTGGCATTAAAATGAAGATGTTCCTCTCGTGCACTGCTGGGGGGAATGTGAAATGGTGCCACCGCTTTGGAAAACAGTCTGGCAGTTCTTCAAAATTTTAAACATAGAGATACCATATGACCCAGCAATTCTACTCCTAGGCATACACCCAAGAGAAAAAAACGTATGTCCACATAAAAAGTTGTACATGAATGTTCATAGTAGCATTGTTCATAATAGCCCCAAAGTAGAAAAAACCAAAATGTCTACCAGCTGATGAACAGATAAGTAAAATGTGCTGTATCCATAAAATGGGATGTCATTCAGCCATAAAAAGGAATGAAGTATGGATACATACATAGATGAACCTTGAAAACATTATACTAAGTGAAAGAAGCCAGTCACAAAAGATGGTATGATTTCATTTCTATGAAATGTCCAGAACAGGCAAATTTATGAAGGCGAAAAGTAGATTAGTGGTTGCCTAGGTCTGAGGGAGTTGTGGGGTTGGGGGGTGAGGGCTAACAGCCATGAGGTTTCTTTTTTGGGTGATGAAAATGTTCTAAAATTGATTGTGGTGTTGGTTGCACAACCCTGTGAATATAACAAAAGCCATTGAACCACACACTTTAAATGAGTGAATTATATGGTATGTGAATATCTCAAGAAATCTGTTAAAAAACACAGCTGTTATATTAAAAAATTTTTTAAATAAAATGAATAGGTTCCAATTTTGAGGAAATATTAACGTGGCAAGTTAAAGGTGATTTTGTGTTTGTGTGTGGGGGTGGGGTGGGTGCGTGCCCTAATAGTGATAATAAAATAACTTCTACGAAGTGTCCTATGATATTCCGGTAATTAACACGACTAAACACTGATCTGATTGTTTAAAGTTTGACTAATGTGTCCCAGTCCATCCCCAATGCCTTTAACTTGCTAATTAAAAAATGGGAAAATACATGTTGAATCTCCAGTGTGGACCCCACTGCATGATCGTGCCTGTGTCCTGCTTACAAGCCTCAAACCCCTCCTTTGCCTATAAGAGAAAGTCACACACAACTCTTCACACACCACCCCTGCTTAACTCGCTAGGTCATCTCCCGGCACTCTCCTGAACACCCTCTCTTCTCTAGGCCTTCAGAACGGTGCACCCCTGCTATCCGGCTGCCCTGTGCGATTCCACACCCCCTCCCTTCACAGACGAGCTTCCCTGTGTCCTGCACGCCTCGCTCCATCCACTCCACTCTTCTTCATCTGGCAAAATTCAGCTCACTCCTTAGGAAGCTGAGGCCTCTGGGAAGCCTTCTCTGGATCCCCAGGCAGGTTACTTGTGCCCATAACTCTGTACAAATTTCATCGCTTCACACATGCTCTATGATTCTCCGTTGACTTGTCCATCTCCCCCACGCCACCGTGAGCACCTCGAGGGCACGGATGAGGTGGCGGAGATTTATGAATTCCCAGGGCCTAGCAACGTACCTGACGCATAGTGGGCCCTCTGAACATAACTGAATAAATAAATATGCAGTGGCCCTCAGCTTGTGACTGCTGTATTGTAAATAATGTAAAACTGCATTATTTTAGCAGGTTATATGTTTTTTTTCTTTTGGAATAGGGGAGAGGCAACCAAGCTCGTGTATAAATAGAACCTTCAAGAGTCTGGTTCCATTCCGATAATAGCTTTTTCTCCAAAAAATCCAATTGTTGTAGGGGACATAGACACACCATCCACCTCACTGGGGATGCCTCCTCCCTCTGACTCAGGATAACCCTCTTCAGTGCTGAGGAAAGCTCGATCATCTCAGTTTGCAGAAGGCAGAGAAAACAATGAAAGGAGCAATGTCTCTGGGTCTAATCCTGACCAATGAGGAGGAAGTGGTTGGAGAAGTGGTGGAAACCCTGTGAGAAAACCCCCACACAGCCACTGGTTCACCACCGCCGATGGCGTGAGTCCACAGCTGTGCCTGCACGTGCAGTGGCCCCGACAGCTCACCCCGCTACACGGGGAGTTGGAGATCATGTGTGGACTGCTGCGCTGATGGTATACACGAAAAATCACGCAAGGGTTTACATATACATATATATACATACACGAATGTACATATACAGTATATATAATCCTTGTGTGAATTTAAATTTATATATTTAATAAATACTTACATTTATTAATATGTATATAATATTACATAAAGGTAATAATACTCATATATATTCTATTTTTTTTCCAGAAGCTTAGAGTCTTACTATGTATTGCTATGCTCCCCCGACTCTGCATCCCTTTTGGGGGCCAATGATCTAACTCACCACAGTTCCAGGAAACAGAGCTCACTCTCCCCACTGAAGGATGAGAAAAATAGGCTCAGTGAGTTAAAGGAAGAGCCCTGAGCCCCACAGCTAGTAGACGACAGAGCCAGGCCCCGAGCCTTCCTAGAGAAAGTCTCCTGCTCATTCCACCCGCCCCGGCTGCAGGGGAGAGCGCCTGCGTGGGAAGAGGCTGTAAGACACTGGAAGGGCAGCTACAAGTTATGTAGAGCCAGAAATGCGTGTAAATCATTCAGGAACAAATGGGAACTGATCCTCATCCCCCTTTGAAAATATTAGAACATGCAAGAATAAGTGTCTTAGTGAGGCATCTCTGCACCATGCAATTCCAGGGCCTGAAACCTTAGATGCAGCGAGCGAGGCTTGACAGAGAAGCAGCCTTCTGTGGTGTATATACAGAATAAATGATGGCCTCATAAAACGTGGATTTCTTTAATCTACTGAGGGAGCACGACTGACAAGACACCACGAGGGCACAGCTGTGTTTACTCCGGGGTCACCTCGTGTTCTTTGTAATAAATGCTTTCGCTTTTGCACTCTGGTGACCACCATCTCCTTCGTAGGATATGAAGTACGTTACCACAGAACCAGACGCTGTTAATGGGCCCACACGGCCCTGAACACCCCAGCAGGCCCGCGATTTTATAGTATGCATCACGGGACACCAGGATCCTTATTAAAGAAGAGAGTTTTACAGCGTTTCTCAGAGCACCATATTTTCTAGACCCACCCACAGGGAGAGTGCAAAGAGAAAGATATTGCGTTATAGGCGGTTAGACGGGGTCGGGGCCATGACTGCAAGGGAAGAAAATCATCAAGTGGTATTTATTATGTGCCATCCTGTGTTGAGACGGTGCTGGGGGCCACACAAGGAAAGGTAGACTGTCTTGACTCTTTTCCCTTAGGACCTTTCATTTGGAAAGAGAGCACCAAGGCACACCTAAAAGTGATGACCCAATTCATCATGTACAATGCGGAGCAAAAATGTAATGAACTCTGATTTACAGTGTGTAGAGCAAACCTCGATCCATCCACCCTCTGGGCCACCAGAAATTCTTTTTCGTTTCCACCCTTGTTTAATACGTTATCAATCGGTCTCGGACAACTTTCCTATTTAGGAAGCAAAGTTTGTGAATATAATCTTATCTTTCTTGATGGCCAAGAATCTTGCGGTGTCAGATTGAGGTTTGTAACGTGAACTCGCTTCCTGAGGACGCACTCTGTGTGTTCTGATATGGACTGGGGATTAAGTGGGCTGGCTTTGATGTCGAAACCCGGCTTTGCTGCTTAACAAGCCGGGTGGGCTGAGACAAGCTGCTTCACCAGTCTGAGCTTCTGAGCCTTAGCGTTCTCATCTGCAAAGTGGAACTAACAGTAGTTACTCTGTTAGGATTAGAGATACCGAGAGTCAAGTCCTTAAGCTTAGTATCTGCCACATAAGAAGCATCAAACAAATAACAGTTCTTCTTACCCATTGTATGAAGACAAGATGGAACATAGGTAGATCTCACATACCCTAGAAATATTGACCGCTTGCAGCGAGCACTGTAGTGCCTACTCAGATCCCCTCCTCAGGGCCAGCCCACCTGTCCCCCAGCAGCTGGGAATCAGATGACTCACAGCTGTGCTCCTAGCTGGGCATTGCCCTCAGCCACCAGGAACCGCCTGACCTAAGCTCATCATCCCTCCCAGACTGGGTGATGTGGAAACAAGGGCTCAGCCCCATTGCCTCAATTTGGGACAATTTTGAAGGGCCGCCCTGGCTCCGGGCTTGCCTGTAGGGCCAGTGGCATCGCAGGCCAGGCCTCCCCTGCCAGGTCCTCCCCCTTCATGGACGCGTCTCCCAAGAGCTCTCCCCAGGGAACCTGTGGCCCCAGCTTTCCATGTCAGAGTCCGTCTCAGGAGAACTCAATCTAAGATCTTGCTCAAAAGTAGATTGTTGACTTAAACTTTTCTTGAGATTTGAATATTTCTCTCAAAAGTGATAAGCAGAAAAAATGTCAGTGAATTGTATTTTCTGGTTGTTGAGGTCTCAGCTAACTGTATTTGTTTCCTATTGCTGCTGTAACAAATCACACAATCATACGTTTAGTGGCTCAAAACAACACAAATTTATTATCTTAAATTCTGTAGTTCATAAGTCTAAAATGGGTCTCACAGAGCTAAAATCAAGGTCTCAGCAGGACCAAGCTCCGTTTTGGAGGCTCTTGGGGAGAATCTGTTCCCATTCCAGATTCTACAAGCTGCCCACGCTCCTCGGTTCATGGCCTTCTCCCTCCATCTTCAAAGCCAGCAAGAGTGGGTCCAGTTCTGTACTGCATCCCTCTGACCTCCTCCTCTGCCTCTGTCTTACACTTTTAAGGACCTTGTGTCAACATTAGACCTGCCCGCATAATCCAGGATAGTCTCCCTATTTTAAGGTTGGCCGATTAGCAACCTTAACTCCATCTGCAACTTTAATTCCCCTCTGCCATGTAATGTAACATATTCACAGGTTCCTGGATTAGCATGTGGACATCTTTGGGGGACCATTATTGTGCCTACCCCACTAATTGAAGTTTTACTATTTGACTGATAAGACAAATGAGAGCCAGACCAACGTAAGTGAAGATGGACGTACTTGGACAATTACAATGTGTGTGCATTGTGTCACCTGGGGTATTTCAGGTTGCAAGCATCTGGGAAGCACAGTACAGTGAGGGGGGAGCTTCGGGAGGAACTGGGCAGCAGTGCAGGCAAAACTAAAAGTGACAAGCGCTCAAAGACACCAAGTTCTACTACTGCAAAAAGTAGAAGGGCAGTGTTCTGAGTGAACTGGAAAGGAGGGGTTTAAGTAGGGTCTGATGTAATGACTACATCTGCTTAGAATGTTTTTGGGCCTGGTTAGCCACCCTGACTCATTCAGTGTTGGAGGCTGAGAAAGGCTATGGAGGGCCATCCCACGTGTCTGACACTAAACTGATCATCAAATGGCCAGCCACGTAACAACCACGTGGAGAAATTTGGTCAACAGTTATCCAGCACTGTCAGGGATCAGATGCCACATCAGTTTTCTAGCAGTCGGGAGGCATTTAAGTTCAAGATAGCGCAAGGAATGGGAGAGTTGCTGACTTCTGCTTTAAAAAGCTGCCCCCAGTACTCTCATTTGTCTCTTCAGAGCCCGAGACTCTCTCTCCAGCTGCTAGCTGCCATTTCTGGTTTCGGGCTCAGCACTACAGAACAGAGAGCTGGTGCAAGGGGCGCGTGTGGGGGTGTCTCTGTTTAGGCAGGGGTCCCTTTCCTCAATGACCCCTTTCGCTCACGTTTATAATCCACAGAATAAAATTTGAAAGTCCGGGCAAGACACAACTGAAAAGGACTCGGTGACCTGATCAATTTCCCCTGCCTTAGCAGAGTGCGGCGTCTTCCAGGCCTGTTACTTGTGAATATATATAAGGAAATTTAAGGTATGTTTTAAATAAACGTACCAGAGTTGATGCATCCCACATGAGCCTCCCCTTCAAAGTAGTCTCCTTAGAAGATGAATCACTTATTCCAAAGATACTGTTAAAAACACTCTGGATCGTTTCTTTTTAGACACTTAGGTCTAAATTCTTCGGAGTATCTTGATGGGGCAAATATTTACCCTTTAAAGGTGGATTTGATTTTTAACAACAGCCAAAATTCATTTAGATCAAAGTCTGGGAAATAAGGTGAATACTAAAGTTAAGTAATACCATTTTAGATTAAAAGATGAGGCTGATTTAATTGAATGAGACTAGTTTTCTCCTGAGGGCTGTGGATGGTTCTGAGAGCCATAGGGTAAGAACAATGGCAGCACGGAGGGGATATGTCGGTGCCTTTCAAAGAGATTTCTTTAAAAGATTATACACAGTTGAAGGTAGCAACTTTTGGATTCTTTTTTAAGTTTGTGACTTCAGAGAGGCATCGTATCTTAGAGATTAGAATCACAGGTTCTGGAGTCAGGCCTGGAACCAAAGTTCAGCGCCATTATTTTTAACTGTGTGACCTCAAGCAAGTCAACCTCTCTGAGCTTCATCTGAATAGGATTATAATATTAACTCCCTCAGAGGATGCCTACGAGGAATAAACAAGGTCATATATGTAAAACACAAGGTCACGTATACAAGGCACCTTGTCTACCGCATGACGCACGGTAGGTGCTCAGTACACAGTGGCTGTTGTTGTGTCTTCATGGACGCATTGTGTGACACAAACACACACGCCTCTTCACCTCTAGGTAGGAGCAGATCTGTAATATCGATTGCGTGTGTGGTGACATGATAGGACTAGTAACTATCGTTTATTGAAGACCTTGGTGGGCAGACCCTTTCAAGCCTCACTATAACCCCGGTAGAGGTAGGCCCTATTATTCGACCCATTTTTACACATGAGGAAATTGAGACCTGATGAGGTTAAATAACATGCCCCAAAGCGTTTAGCTACAAAGCTGTGGAGTCAGGATTCGAACCAGGCATTCCAACTCCTCCACTAGCCCCTGTAACCCTTTCTCGTACAGCTGCTTCTGGAGGCTCATTTCACGTGAGGACAGCACGAGTAGGGGTTCAAGCACAGACTGTGGAACCGCGTGGGCTGGATTTGAGTTTGAAACCCAGCTCACCCCAGTCATCTGTCTTGCGGGCCCTCCCGAGTCTTCTCGACTGCAATGAGGATGATGGGAGAGATGCTGCCGGAGTCGCGTCTGCACAGAGCTGTGCTCGGAAACGCAGGCTATGATGAAATGTGCAGGAAAGTCTCAATTAACAGGACATTCTGCACAGAGTGGCTTTTGGTCCACATCCCCCTACCCTTGAGATCCACCCCCCTCCCCCCCGGGGCCAGACTTCCGGCTGCTCTGAAAGCCTTTGGTGATAGCCTGAGTATGAAAGAGAGCCTACTGATAGTGAAAAATTCTCCCGAAAGTGGTCAAAGCGTTTCCATCAGATTATGGCCGGATTCCAGTGGAGGTGGAGGAGGTGACAGACAGAACCACTTAGTGTTCCTCCTCGGCCACAAGTTGACACTCTGATCAAGCACTTTTCCCAACACGTGTTCCTCGAGAGCAACTTGTTATCCGGGGTGGGGCGCTGCCTGCCAACCCCAACCCCTGCTTGGGACTCCCCCCTTCCCCTAGTGCCTTCTCACAGAGTGAAATGAAGAAAAACCCTGAGTGACCAGAGGAAAACACAACATTGTTTGCAGCTTAGTGTCTGGCTGGTCTAGAGCATTCATTCATTTATTCATTCATTCATCCATCTTTCTTCTGTATGAGAGAAGTCAGCAGCCAGTCTTGTAACTAAGAGGCCTGTTAGGGGCTGAATGGTGTCCCCTCAAATCCATATTTAAAATTCTAACCCCCAATACCTCAGACTGTATTTGGAGATAAGACCTTTAAAGAGGTAATTAAGGTAAAATATGGTCATATGGGTGGGCCCTAATCCAATATGGCTGGTGTCCTTATAAGAAAAGGACATTAAGACACAGATAACACAAACAGGGGGACGATCACGTGAGGATATAGTGAGAAAGTATCATCTGCGAACCAAGGAGAAGCCTCAGAAGGAATCAACCCTGCAGACATCTTGATCTTGGACTAGTAGCCTCCAGAACTGTGAGGAAATAAATTTCTGTTGTTTAAGCCACCCAGTCTGTGGTATTTTGTATGGCAGCCCTAGCAAACTAACACTAGGCCTAAATTTCATTTCGGGGCTTGCACACAGGGCTGAGGGGAGGGTGTAGAGGCCTCCCGGGGAGAACCCTGCATCGAGATGCTTCCTGGAGATCAGGGCACTGAGGCCGAACATGCTGGACGTTGGGTACAAAGAGCCTCCTGGATTTCCCTCCTGCACATCTGTGACCATGTTCTGGGCTGTCACCTCGGCACCAGCAGACCAGCCTTCCTGACTCCCCAGTCCAGTCATCCGGCTCTCGGGGAGAGTCCACAGTAGACACCCCCGGAAAGCTGAGAGTGGCTTTCAGACCTCTCGGGAGTGACTCAGATCTCAGAACGTGTCTATTGAGGTGATTCATTTTTTTTTTTTTAATTTTTTGTTTATTGCAGTAACATTGGTTTATAACATTGTATAAATTTCAGGTGTACATCATTATACTTCTATTTCTGCGTAGATTACATCATGTTCACCACTCAAATACCAATTACAACCCATCACCACACACATGTGCCGAATTATCCCTTTCACCCTCCTCCCTCCCCCCTTCCCCTCTGGTAACCACCAATCCGATCTCTGTCCCTATGTGTTTGTTTATTGTTGTTATTATCTACTACTTAATGAAGGAAATCATACGGTATTTGGCCTTCTCCCTCTGACTTATTTCACTTTGCATTATACCCTCAATGTCCATCCATGTTGTCACAAATGGCTGGATTTCATCGTTTCTTATGGCTGAGTAGTATTCCATTGTGTATATATACCACAGCTTCTTTATCCATTCATCCCTAGATGGGCACTTAGGTTGCTTCCAAGTCTTGGCTATTGTGAATAATGCTGCAATGAACACAGGGGTGCATGTATCTTTATGCATTGGTGTTTTCAGGTTCTTTGGATAAATACCCAGCAGTGGAATAGCTGGATCATATGGTAGTTCTATCCTTAATTTCTCGAGGAATCTCCATACTGTTTTCCACAGTGGCTGCACCAGTTTGCACTCCCACCAGCAGTGTATGAGAGTTTCTTTCTCTCCACATCCTCTCCAACACTTGTTGTTTCCTGTCTTGTTAATTATAGCCATTCTGACAGGCGTGAGGTGATATCTCATTGTAGTTTTGATTTCATTTTTAAACGAGGCTTATTTATGCGATTATATCTGTTAAACGCTTGTATCTGTCCTTTGTTGTTGCTTGAATAACACCTGTTAAATGACCCAAATTGTGCCTTCTACCCATCTTGTGAGAGGACACAGTAACATGAATTTAAATGCCTTTTGGGTAAAAGGTGCTTTATTTTCCAAGACAGGAACTATATAATCTGGAACCCACCATACTCAAAGTTGCCGCCAGTGATTTTTTTCCCTGAAATTCATCTCAACCTCCCAGTTTCTCACCACGTGAAAAACCAGGTGCTGCCCTGTGATCGCTCGCCCCACGAGGCACTGCAGGGCCAACTTCTACCGACACGGATTTGACTTCCAGCTGGGTTAGCACCAATTCGTAACCCAGAAATTCTTTATTAAATATGGAAATTAAAATGGCTTTCTTGGTTAGTTATCTCCATTTCCTCTCCTGTGAATTAGAAGCTTTGAAGATGATCTCCAGGATACCTTCCAGCTGCCAAGACTGCGATTCTCTGTTTTGTGAGATGGGCCAGTGTGCGATTCTGTCTATGCCTCCAAACAGCAAGCCATCATTCCAACACAAATGTTATTCATTTCGTTCATTAGTTTAATAAATGCTGTTAAATGAATGACTGAATTAATTAATGAATGCCCCCTGGGTTCTGGCCCCAGGGAACACAGATAAATAAGACAGCTTCTGCCTGTCAGGAGCGCACACTCTGAAGGGGGCGGAAGATGCATAAACAGATGCACTGCTCAGTTCAACTTTCTTTGTTTTCCGTTAGTTTTACTTATTATGATCATAAAAACTCTATTTAGTGCCTACTCTGTGTCAAGCATACTGCAGGGTGTTACGCAACGAATCCTCATACTGACTCTGCAAAGTAGGTATTATTGACGCTATTTTAAAGGTTAGAAAGTGAAGGCCAGCGAGGACAGAGCCTCGGTCTGGTTGACTCCTCGTCATCTGTGTAGTACAAGCTACGTGAACTTTACTGTTCCTGGAAAGGAAAGCCGCATGGCACCGTGATTTGATCTCCATGAAAGGCAGCAAGCATCGTGGATTGTGTTTTCAATTCACTCACTTAACCGACAGTTATCGAGCATCCCTGCACTAGACCCCGGGGATAAAATGTTAGAACTGAGCATCCTTCCGACTGCTCCTGATGCAGACAGCTTTAGTGAAGGAGAAAGAAGTGTCGACTGATAATTACAATGAAATAGGACCAATTCTACGATGTCACAGCAGACAGTGCTCTGGGATCCCAGTGCTCTGGGCTGGAGCAGGCAGGGAAGTGGCCTTTGAGTTGAGTCTTGAAGGATGAGTAGGAATTCACAGGCAGAAGGAAGGAGAAGACGTTCCAAGCAGGGGAACAGAAAGTGCACAAGTCTAGGGATATGAACAGAACACTGCATTTGGGGACTGAGAGGAGAGGAGCAAGTGAGACTCGATGATGAGGGAGCTGGCTGGAGAGGTCGGCTGGGCCATGTCCGAGAGTCTCGTTCAGAACTATCCTGTGACTGGTGGAGGTTTTTCTGGGGAGATAGTGAATCATCTGATTTGTCTGCTAACAAGGAGCCCTGGCTTTGGTGTGGAGCAGTGGTTATCAGCCCTGGCCGTACTTCAGAGTAGCACGGGGAGCTGTGAAACATCCTGAAGCCTAATGTTGTGCACCAGATCAGTTAAACAAGAATTCCCGGGGTGGGACCCAGGCGTCAGTATTTTTAAAAACTCTCCAGGTATTTCGATGTGCGGCCAAGGTAGAGAACCACTGGTGTGGAGAACACTCCAGAGTAGAACGAATTGGCGGCTGGGAGGCCTGTTAGGGGACTACCGGGCAAGGCCTGGAGGACACGGCCAGGGCAGTGGTTCTCAAACTTCCGTGTGTCAGAATCACCGGGAAGCCTTTTTAAGATGCAGAATTGCGGGGCCCAGGCCCCGGCTTCAGATTCAGCAGGTCTGGGGTGGGCCAGGGAATGTACATTTCTAACTTTTCCCAGCTGAGGCTGATGCTGCTGGTGCAGGGATCACACTTTGAGAAGCACAGGTCTGTGGCCTGGCAGTGGAGATGGAGAGGAGAACACGGACTGGAAGGTGTTTTGGAGGCAGGGGAGGGATCAGGCAACTGGATGGAGATACTATTAACCAAAATGGGAAGGAGGAGACCTCTTTGCTTGTTCACGGTGGGGAAGAAGACATCTGGGCATGCAGGGCTTGACATACTTGTTGGAAGCATCTAGGTGAAGGCACCTTGTCAGCATCTGAAAATGCTTTTCTAGCTATGAGGAAGAAGTGAGGCTAATTTGGGGACAAATCAGGACCTCAGATTTAGTCTAATTCAAGGCAAATATGGACCGATGACTATACAGCTTGAGAATATGTATTACTTCTATTGGAGCCATTTTTTTCTGGTGACAATATGTTTAATCAATAAAAGACTAATAAAGATTCACGTTATACATGAGCCATTACACCTGGTTGTTAAGTATACATAGGTCAAAATGTTTAAATTGCCTCCATCAGTTTTTTCAATTTATCTTCACACATGAATTTGAAAAGCAAATATAATGTTTATTTCTTTGTTATATTGATAGTTATTGTGTTTTCCTCTTATTCGTGAGAAGAATCCAAGGCATTTGGCTGAGCCTCAGTTTCCCCAGTGGGGGATTTGGTGACTGCCAAGGACCCTTTCAACTCCAGCATTCCGTGAGTTTGCCTTTGATTCCATGTCAGTTTCGCCAGAAGGATCTCCAGGAGCTGGTAACACGGGA